GTCTCTCTCTCCTCTGTCTCTCTCTCCTCTGTCTCTCTCCTCTGTCTCTCTCTCCTCTGTCTCTCTCTCCTCTGTCTCTCTCCTCTGTCTCTCTCCTCTGTCTCTCTCTCCTCTGTCTCTCTCCTCTGTCTCTCTCCTCCTCTGTCTCTCCCTTTCCTCTGTCTCTCTCCTCCTCTGTCTCTCTCCTCCTCTGTCTCTCTCCTCTCTCTCTCTCTCTCTTCTCCATGTTCCATCTCCACATGGTATCTTCTCTCTGTCACTCTGTGTGTGTGTGTGTGTGTGTGTGTGTGTCTCCTCCTAGTCTATAAGGATACCGCTTACTGGATTAGCACCCACCCTACTGCAGTGGGACCCCGCATTGACCTGTTTCCACACAAGGTCCCATTCACAGGTATCAGGGGTTAGGGCTTCCACTTGTCTTTGTGGTAAGAGCACAGCATTGAACCCATTCCCTCAGTCCCTGGTGTTAGAGATTTGAGTCCGCCTAGAGGTACCTCAGAAGAAGGACCTGGAAGTTGACCTCTGAAAATCAGTCATGGAAAACCCACATGGGGTCACCATGAGCCCAAGTCTGGCCCCTGGCGGACTAAACCATTGCTACACTACCCTGCGGTCCTCACAAAGGCAAAAGATGGCAAGGCCTTTGGGTGGGCCATGGTGGCATGGTGGTTAAAGCACTCGACTGCTAGCTGAAAAGTCCGCGGTTTGAATCCACCGGCTGCTTTTAGAGAAGACCTGTTTCTGTGAAGATTCTAGCTTTGTTCCCTCCTGGAAGGAAGAATCAAAGACTCAAGGAAACAGTCTATAAGGGACCCCAAGAAGCCCACCTCCACTCAGCCAGAGTAGATGGTGCCCGCTGACCACTCTGCTCTGGCCAGCACTGCAAATCCCTGGACAGAGTGGGGGGGGGGGGGAGCGGAGAGATAAAACAAAATTCCAAGTCCTAAAAAGTACCAATCAGATAGACGGTGGAACGTGGAGAGTGTAGCCCTCGGACACCCTTCAAGCCTGGGACTGAAGTCACAGACAAGCCAGTAAAGTGAAAATGACCCTTGTACGGAACATTCCCCTGAGAACAATCAGTTCAGAAAGCAGGAGACGGTGGGCATGGGGAGCTCCAGGGGGAAGTGAGAAGAGTGTTGTCACACTGAGGGGATTATGACCAATGTCACCAAGCCCTGTGCAGCGGCCCTCCTCTGCCTGTCACTCCCTCAAAGCCTTCGAGGCCGCTGACTCCTAGCCACGCTGGGTAGGTCTCCCAGGTTATCAGTCTATGGGAGCAGAAAGCCACGTCTTTCTCCCGCAGACAGGCTGGTGGGTTGGGAAAGCTTATCCCACAGCACCATGCCAGAACTGATTTGGTGACGGTGGGTTTGAGGTACAAAGACAAGGTTTTCTGAGAGCTGGGCCTGCTGGAGAATCCCCCCATGGTGGCAGCTGAAACTGCTTCGCAATCACCCAGGTGACTAAGAACGGGAAGAGATGACGGGTCTTCACCAGCACAGGCCCTACCCGCTGTCTAGAGGACTCGGATGAGCACTCGTAAAGACTGCGTCTCAGGACCCTGCGGAGCACTTGTACACTGTCCTCTGGGGTCCCTGTGAGCCGGGAGCAGCTCAGCTCATCATTCAGGGTTTGATTCCATGTTGCGGAGTTCTTACCCAGCATGCTCTGTGTCTTTAAAGGTAGTAGTGACACAAATCACACCAGCAAATATTTTGGAAGCATCGACTCTTCAGAGAACAACCGCAAAGGGACAAGGAGTGCGGACGTGGGCGAGAATGAGCGTCTGATTAAGTACGTCCTCCAGGATCCCATCTGGCTGCTGATGGCCGACACGGACCCCAGTGTCCTGCTGACCTATCAGATGCCTGCCCGGTAACCCCCTATTCCCATACACACAGGAGGGACGGATAAGGGTGTGCCCCAAACAAGGATGGGGCAGGCAGAGTGGGACGTCCTAGGGGAGCCTGGCGAGAGCTTACTGGGAACAACTGATGGAGAAGCAGGGTCCCTGACCCCCAAATGAGCCACTTGACCCGGGAGCATGGCGGGATGGGCTGGACAAACCTTGCCTATTGACGGGACGTCCCAGGGTCTCCACCAGCGTTGACACTCACGTTGACAGGATTTGAGCAAACATTGTCCCCTGTGTTCTGCTGCCCAGTGGCCTGTGGGGTAATGAGGTGAGATGGGAGTGTTCTCAGGCCAAGGTAGTGACCAGCCCCAAACCACCTTGGGCCTGTGTCCATGTTTGACTCCACCCCAGCCTGGTTTAACAAGATGTGGCCTCGCCCTGCAGTAGAGACGCCAGGGGACAGGAAGGGAAGAAGAAGTACCCACTCCAGGCCTGTTGTTAAGTGCCATCAAGTCGGTTCCGACCCATAGTGACCCTGTATAGGGTTTCCAAGGAACGACTGGTGAGCTTGAACCACCAACCTTATAGTTCAAACAGCTTTGCAGTCTGGTGCGTTAACCCACAGCGCCACCCCAGGACTCCACTCCAGGCCTAGGGACCAGGAAATGGAACCTGCCTCCAAGTGGTTCTTGCCACGTGGTAAGGGGGATCATTCTGCCTGCTGTATCCACAACAAGCCTCTCCCAGACACACTATGTCTGTGCCCAACAAGAGGTCCCTGGAGGGTACAAACTGTTTGGGCTTGGCTGGTGGTTCAATTCCACCTCGCAGCTTCACAGTAGAAGGCCTGCTGGTCAGCCTCCATGGAGATCAGTCCCGCCAGCCCAGTGCAGCCCACTTCTACCCTGAGTCACCATGAGTCAGAACCAAGTGTGAAGTCTCATTTGTTTGCTGGGGAGCCCTGGGGAGTGTAAACAGCTAACAGTTACAGCTGCAGTCCGAAAGGTTGGAGGTTTAAGTGTACCCAGAAGTGTCTTGGAAAACAGATCTAGCGGTCTGCTTCACAAAAACCGGCCATTGAAAACCCCGTGGAGCACACCTCTACCCCAGCACACATGGACACCGGGACTCAAAGTGAACTCCGCCACAGGTGGTTATTGTTGAACCAAGCCCAGGGGTGCAAGGCACTTCTCCCAGCACCCAGACAGGTCTAATTCGCAGTAAATTAAAATCATGATGCAGGGTATCATCGTAACAGTAAAGCTCCAAGTTATTGTACGTTGTTGTTGTTAGGTGCCACCGAGTCAATACCCACCTATAGCGACCTTATGCACAGCAGAACGAACCACTGCCCAATCCTGGGCCACCCTCACTACAGTTACCACACTTGAGTACATCAATGCTGCCACTTGGCCAATCCATCTCGTTGGGGGTCTTCCTCTTTTTCTCAGACCCTCCACTTTACCAAACATGATATGCTTCTCCAGCGATTGGTCCCTCCTGATAATATGTCCCAAGTATGAGAGATGAAGTTTGGCCATCTTAGCCTCCAAGGAGCACTCTGGCTGCACTTCTTCCAAAACAGATCTATTGGTTCTTTTGGCAGCCCATGCACTTTCAATGTTCTCCTCCAACACCATAGCTCAAAGGCATCAATTCTGCTACGGTCTTCCTTATTCACTGTCCAGCTTTCGCATGCATATGAGGTTATTGAGAATACCATGGGTTGGGTCAGGCGGCACCTTAGTCCTCAAGCTGACATCTTTGCTCTTCAACACTTTAAAAAGGTCTTGTGCAGCAAATTTGCCTAATGCAATACGTCATTTGATTTCTTAACTCCAGGTTCCATGAGTGTTGATAGTTGATCCAAGAAGAATGAAGTCCTTGACAACTTCAATCTTTTCTCCACTGATAAGAATGTTGTTTATTGGTCCAGTG